TAACCTTCCACTTAAAAGAATTGTAATACCATCATCTATTCGTACTATAATATTTGCTTCATTAACCATCCACTCACAGGGTTTGGACTTACCATTGGGTTCCCATGCACCGAAAATAGGGTAATATTTCAACCAACCGTTCCAAAAATGTGAAAAAAATAAAAAAGGAAATTTTTTTTTTTGAAAATAAAAAAAAAAAATGTTTTTTTTTGAAACCCCCTTTAAAAAAAAAAAAAAAAAAAAAGGTCTAAAAAAAGAAAGTAGGGTCACCATCTTTTTTTTTTTTTTTTGAAGTGTTTTTGATTCTTTTATCAAATAAAAAAAAAATTAAAAAAAAAAAAAACCGATAAATTATTTTTTTTTTAGTTTTTTATTTTTTTATTTTAATTTTTTTTTTTTATTTTATTTTATTTTATCATAATTTCTATTGAGCCTTGCACAAAATGGTGATAGTTTTTTTAAATTTTAAAAAAAATAATTTGTCTTGGGACAAAACTCTATAGTTATAATGATAAATAATATTAAATTTCCAACTGAAAAAAAAAATTGATATTAATTATTTTTCTAAATTAAAATTTTTTTAATGGTAAAGAAAAATAAAATGAAATTATTTATATCTCAATGAGATATTGATTTTTAAAAAGGGCAACTTGTTCGAAAAAAACGTGATTGAGCAGTGGTTGTGGGCGCAATTATAGTGGGAATTTGAAGAAAAAAAAAAATAAAAGAAAAGAAAAAAAAAAAATATCTATATTATATTTAATTATATTTTTTTTTTTTTAAATTGTTTTTTTTAATAATATCTGGGAAAAAAAAAAAAAAAATATAAAAAGTTTTGATAAAATATATAATTTTAGTTTTTAAAATGATTGACCAATTCATCTTTATTAAAACTTGTCATGTTAAATCGAGTATTGATATAGTTATCTGGAATTACAGGATAAACATTTGGTTGATTTTTTTGTTTGTTAAATTGCTCTTTAAAACTTGCTAAAAGATTATTTTGTTGATTTTGAACTTGTTGTTGTTTATTTTGATTTCTTTTTGGTTTTAAAATTTGAATTGGTTGTTGTAGTTGTGGTTGTGGCTGAGTAATTGGTTGTTGTTGTTGTTGTTGTTGTGGTTGTTGTTGTTGATCTCTGGGTGATGTTGGTGGTGACATTGGATATGGAGAGTATTGATTTGGTGGAGCTAGGTTTTTATTATTTTTTGGAGTGGAGACCTGTTGCTGTTGCTGTTGAGTTGGAATTCCATTATTACTATTGTTTAATTGATTTTGATTATTTGGATTACTAATTGGTGTAGTTGCATATAATTCTTTTGGATATTTAAGTTTACGCAATTGTACCCATTTACGTAGACGATTAAAGAAAGGAAATGACCTATAAAAGTTACGTTCTTTTGAGCCACTTGTTTTTTTTCCACCAATAGTTGGAAGATCATCAATTAATACCCATTCAATTTTACCAATTTCCTTTCTAGTACGTGGATAGAATTGAGTTGGTTCTGGTACACCTGCAACAATATATAGTTTTATTTTTTGCTCTTTAATATTTAATTCGATAAAATGACGTTCGTTCAAATAGGGTGCAATATCAAATGATGTCTCTTCAAAAACTTCACGCACTGCACAGTCAGCATCTGATTCATCTTTATTAACTTTGCCTTTTGGAAAACCCCAACTATTATTGCTACCATACCCTCTTACAAACAATGCTTTATCTAAATCTTGATTTAAAATAATTGCACCAAATACAGGAACCTTTGTTTTATAATCTGAAAAACTCTTTAAAATCTCTTCGACTGATGTTTGGTGATGTTTTAAAATTGGGCAATTACTGAAAAAATTCTTTGTAAATTCGGCCATTGAGTATTTTGGTAATTGTGGAAAATCTTCTCTATAAAAATCATCATAGCTAAATAAAAATTAAAAACCTAATTAGTTTTTAAAGTTTAAGAATGAAAATCTAAAGAAACTTACAACCAATATGCTGCTTCAATTTGAAAAAGTAAACGTTCAAAGGACGATAGCTCCTCTGCTGGTATCTTTTAAGAAGAAATAGTAATATTAGTTTTGGTTTGGTTTATAAATTTTGAAGTGTGTGAAAGTAAAATTACATTTAAAACAAATCTTGAAGATAAATCATCAAAAATTTCATTTAAAGTTGGTGGTTTTGGTTTATCATCTTGAGTATTTTCTGTCTGTTTTTGTGGTTGATGGAGTTGCTGCTGTTGTTGGTATTGTTGGTCTTGCTGTTGTTGTTGTTGTTGTTGTTGTAGCATATGTTGTTCGTGTAGCATTTGTTGATGCTGTAACATTATTGCTTCAGCTGAGCTATTTAAATGTGAGTGGATGTGATGTGGTTGTGATGGTGGTGGTGGTCCATACATAAATGGATTTGGATGGAACATTGGTGGTGGTACTGGTGGCATTCCACCATGCATAAATGGGTATCCTCCATAAGAGTGATTTAATGGATGTTGGTGGTGGAAAAAATTAGTTGGATCGCTACTATGCATCATTGGATGCATTCCTGTCGAATTGTGCATATTATTACTATTTATATTATTTATATTATTCGAATTATCCATATTACTATACATTTTTATATTTTTTATTCGTTATATTATTATTTTTATATAAAGAATAAAGTTATTATGCACTAAAATTATATTATATTATTTTATTTTATTTATTTAATTTATTTATATATTTATTTTATACATATATATATATATTTGCTTATAATAAGTTTATAGTTATTAATTTAAATTAAAATAAATAAAATTTTTTAAAAAAATTTTAATAAATTTAAATAAAAAATTAAAAAAAAAAAAAAAAAAAAAAAAAAAAAAAAAAAATTTTTTAAAATCCCCATAAAAAAAAAAAAAAAAAAATTTATTAAAAAAAAAATTTTTAAAACTTTTAAAATTATTTTAAAAATTTTTTTTTTTTTTTTTTATTAATTTAAAAATAAAAATAATAATTCTAAATTATAATAATTTAATAAATTTTGGTTTGTGTCAGTTCTAAATTACTTTACTAGTTATAACAATATATTTATATAGAGAGTCTTTATTTTTTTAAAATTTTTTTTTTTTTTTCCATATTATTTTTTCAACAAATAATTAATTTTCTATTTTATCCGTATCCAACTTCACTATCTAAAAAAACAATTAACTCCAGCAAAATATGTCAAATCATACAGTCATTAAAGGTACCCAAAGGGCAGATGGAACTTGGAGAAAAGATATTAAAGTGAAAGAAGGATTTGTGCCAGAGGAAGAAAAAAAACCATATGTCATTCCACAAAAAAGAAGTGAAGATCAACAAAATCAAACATCGCCATTAAGAGGTATTCTTTCATCAGTTAACAAATACAATGATACACTTGAACAGTCCAAAGCCAATCAAGGTTCACCATTTAATAAAAATTCCGAAATTGATTTATCTCCTAATGACAATCAACAAGATTTAGTTCAAAATGTTCCAGATAGTTATGAAGATATTGACCCAGATACCATTAGAGAGGCCAAGCCACAAGAAACCCCATATGTTGTATCCACCAGTACCACAACTACTTCAACTACTACCGTTACTCAATCCATTCAAAATATCAAGAGTGATGCCAGCGAGTTTGCAGATTTTTATTGTGGCGAAGATGATGAAGATTACTATGATTATGGAGATGAAGAGTATGATGACAATGAAGACTTTAGTACCACTATCAATAATTATCTCAAAAATATGAATGATCAACCATCATATTACCAGCAACCACAACAACATTATCAACCATCACCACCACAACAACAACAACAACAACAACAACCAAAGAGCTATTTTAACGGTTATAATAATAATAACAATAAAAATTATAATAATAATTATAACAATAACAGATACAATAATAATAATAATAATAGTAACAATAGATATAACAACAATAATAGATATAATAACAATAACAATTATAATAACAATAATAATAGATCAAATAATAGATATAATAGCAATGATAATGATTTAATCAGCTTATCAAATCAATTCTCAGAAGGTGTTGGTTTATATGATAATAGACAACAGAATCAATACCAACAACCACAACAACAAATCAATAATCCATACTCTGTAGCCAAAGTAAATAATGAAAGTGGTGACATGGGTTTATTAGAAAAGATTGAAAAGCAACTCGTATTTTATCAAGAAAGAAGCGAAAAGATAGCAGCCGTAGAGAAAAAAATGGAAAGTGGCCAAAAAATCAATGTTTTCGAACAAGCTCTTTTAAAACAAAAAGAATCTGTACAATCTGAATTAGATAAATATACCAAAATGAAAAACAATTTATCAAAATTAAATTAATTTTGTTCCATAGTTTCAATATAAAATAATATCGCGATATCTAAAAAGTATCTATTATATATTATATAAAACAACAATATCTTACAAATTTAACCAATTCACAACCTCTCAAAAAAAAAAAATATAAAATAAGAAAATCCACACCAAAAAAAAACAATAGCAATTTATAAACTCATCCTTTTTGTATACATCTAAAATTTAAACCTGTGTTATATATAATAAAAAATTATAAAATCTTTTTTCTTTTTTCTTTTTTTTTGCAAAATAATAATTAAATTACACCCTTTTTTTTATATATTATCTTTTATACTATTTTTTTATTAATTTTTTTTTTTATTATTTAATTATTATTTATTTATTTATTTCCTTCTTGAACTTTTTCTAATGGAATTGGTTGCATATAATAATCTCTAAACATTGATTCTGGGAAAATAGTTGGGTTTGCACCAAATTCTCTAAGATGGGCAGTTTTAGTTTGGAATTTCTTTCTAGTTGATCTTTTATTTTTATAGTAAACATCACGGCTAAAATCAAATGGCATAGCTATGATTTTGGTTTTTACAGTTCTTAAAGTATCATGACTGATTTCTAAATCTTCTTTATTATATTCCATTGGTTTTAATCCAAGTTCTTCCTTTAATTCTATAAATTTTGATTTTGGATTTGGTCTATTGTCTTTAGCATTTTCGTCGATAGTTAATAATGGATTGTTTCTATAAAGAATTGGTTGAACAAATTCTTTAACTAAATCGACTTGATTTTTTTTTGAAAGTGATCTGATCATTTTATTATTATATAGTCTTTAAAAAACTTTTTAATAGTTTATTAAATACTGTTTTATATATTAATAAAAATAAAATAATATGAAAATGATTAAAAAAAAAAAAAAAAAAAAAATTTATAAAAAAATTAAAAAAATAAAAAAAAAGTTTTTGCAAAAACGAAAAATTTTTATTTTTTTTTATTTATATTAATAATTTTTTTTTTTATTATTAAAGTTCCATTTTAATTATTTAATTTAATTTTTGAATTCATTATTTAATTAGCTTAATGTTATAATCTTTGAACCAATGGTGAAATTGGATCATGAATTCCATTAACATTCTTGTAACTGGAAATTTTATTTGGCTATGTTCATCTTTTATCATTTTTAAAATTTGATCCTTGTCAACAAATTTTAAAATGGGTGAATTTGAATTGCTATCTAATATTTTAAGCATATAGTCGTTGATGTAGGTTGTGTACTTTGATTCTTTTATACTTGGATAGGATTGTTTCTTTCTGTAACAAACATCATTTGGTAAATATTTAGAGAATACCCTTCTTAATAAACCTTTTTCATAGTTGTCAATAGATTTAACTTCATATGGTATATTAAAGACATATTCTATAAGGCCAACATCTAAAAATGGATTTCTAACCTGAATTGCATGGGCACCAATACTATTGCTATCGCATCTATTTAATAGATATGGTAAAAAATTGGATATTAATAAATAGTTTAGTTGTTTTTCCTTTATCTTAATTTCTTTATCTTCACCACTTAATCCATGAAGCTCGTCTTGATCAATTGTTAGTTCATTTAGAGCTTCATTAAATTTGGTTTTTATAAATTCATCTACATTGATTTCTTTTTTAATTTCTTCTTTCAACAATAAATGAAAGTTCCATTCGTCTTTTATCCATGGGAAATAGTCCATTTGTAATAAATTTTCTTTTTTATAATAACTGCTATATCCTGCAAAAATTTCATCAGATCCTTCACCTATTTACAATAAAAAAATTGATTAATACTAATACTTTATTTTATCTTTCTAAAAATATGTAATAGTTACCTGATATCACAACATTAGAGTGTTGTTTCAATTTTCTGTAAACTGGGTTTAATGATGATTCCATTTCACCAACTGTTGGATAGTCATTGTTACGCATTGGTTCTAATAGATCTTGAATTAAATCATCACAGTCAATATCTATTGTTTCATGATTGGTAGAAAAATATTTTGAAACTTTCTCAGCCCAGTATTCATCAGAAGTTGTACAATGGTGATCTTTATTTTCATCGTTGTCTTGATTGACTGAATAGGTATTAATTTTAAATTCTTTATCGATAATATAGTTGTTATGATATATCATTGATACTAAGCCAGATGAGTCTAAACCACCAGATAACATTGATACAATTGGCTCGTCTATATTATCTCTTTTTAATCTTTTAACCAAAGAGTTGTATAGTAGATAGTCAATTTTATAAGTTATTTGTTCTAAATTATCTGTAAGAGGAAGTGATTTTAATTTCCAATAACAGGTTTCTTTGATGTTGAAGTTTGAGTCTATTTCTAAGTAGCATCCATGCTTCAATGAATAGATATCAACATAAATTGTAGTTCCTGGTGTTTGAATAGGGCCATTTATAAAAAGTTCTTTTAAAGTTTCTAGGCTTACTTGTGCCTCGATTAAATTATCTACAAAGAGAGATTTGATTTCACTTGTGAATAAAAATGAACCACCATTGCTTTTTGATTTACAATAATAGAGAGGTTTGTTACCGATGTGATCTCTAACCAACACTAGTTGTTTTTTGATTTCATCGAAAATAGATATTGAGAAAACTCCATTTAGATTTGAAAACACCTCATATTTAAACTCTAACCAACTTGCCAAAATAATTTCAACATCGGAACTATTTTCATTTAAATTGTAACCCTTTTTTGATAGAGAATGAACCAGTTCTATATTGTTGTACAATTCACCATCGAAATTAATAATTAAATGATTTTCTTCATTTTTATATACAAGCAATTGTGGTGCATAATTTTCTTTTTTAGTTTTCAACAGTGTATTACCAAAATGTATATTGAATGCTTTTGAGTGATAATATTTTGTTCCATCAGGTCCTCTTTTAATTATTTTTTCAGTCATATCTATTATTATTTTATCACTTCCTTCATTTTTTTCATTATAATTTATATAACCTGTAATACCCATTCTATTATAATTTGAAAATAAACTAATATGACATCTATAACATTTTATATATTCATTTTTTTTAATTAAAAAAATAATAATTTACCCCCACCAATAAAAATAAATTATTTTTACAATGAGTTTTTTTTAATTTACATAAATTATTCTATTAAAAAAAATTGGGGGGTGTGTTGATTCATATAACAATAATCTATAATTTTTATTCAATAATTTTTTTCCTTCAAAAATAAATAACTTATATAGTTTATATATTAGGAATATAGATATTTAAAATAAATATCTTTAAAAACTATAGATTTATTTATACAAATAAAAATCTATACTTTTTTTTTTATTAACAGTTATATAATAATTTATTTAAATAATTTTTATTATTAAATTTTAATTTATATTTAGTAAAATGTAATTATTTTATATATCATATTTATTTTTTTTAAAAAAATTTATTTTGTTATCTTTTTTATTACTCTAAAAAATGGAAAATATATTAAAAGAAAATCCTAATAAAAACAATAATATTCAAATACCAGTTATTGATATTAAAAATATTAATAATGATAGTTTTAGAGAACAACTATCAAAGGAAATTTTTGATGCTTGTAGAACATTTGGTTTTTTTTACATTAAAAACTATGAAGACTGTATAGACCAAGAATTAATAAACAGAGTGGATGAATTACAAAGAAAATTTCTTTCTTTGCCATTAGAAGTCAAATTAAAGTGGAAAAAGTCATCAAGTAGACATGATACATTGGGTTATTTTAGATTAGCAGAGCAACATACAAATGGAATATATGATTATAAAGAAGGTTCATTTTTGCATATTCAAAAAGAGGAGAGTAGAGATTGCTCTAATGAAACATCCATTTTCCCATCTCATGAAGAAGAAGAAATTTATGGTATAGTAGGTTTTAAAGAAAATGTAGAAAACTATATAAGAGCAGTAAAAAAATTGGGTTTGAATTTAATAAGTTTGGTATCAATCTCGCTTGGTTTATCAGAAAACTATATAGAATCAAACTATATGAAGAACCCATCATCAATGTTAGCTCTACTCAAATATCCATCCTTTGATTGTGAACCTGATTTAGATTCTAAAGATAAGTGGGGTATTGATAACCATACAGATTATTGCTTTATGACAATTCTTAAACAAGATGACATTGGTGGTCTTCAGCTTAAAACAAATGACGGCCAATATATAGATGCTCCAACTATCCCAAACACATTTATCTGTAATCCTGTAGGTGTTTAGTAAATTTTTTAATTATCATGATAAATATATTAATAAAAACAATTTTTAAAAATAGGGTGACTTATTTCAACTTTTAACTGGAAACAACTATTTGTCTATGTACCATAGAGTTTTATATAATAAAAGTGGGAGGGATAGATATTCAATACCATTGTTTTTAGCTCCTGATTGGCATACACCTATTTTTCCTATTGAAGGCATTCCAAAAGCTCCAGAACGTCACCTTGAAAACAATATGGATCCATATAAAGGTTATAGTTATAATAAATATTATAAAGAAAAAATTCATATCTCTTTTACCTATGATGAGTAAAATTACAATAAACAAAATCGTGTTTTATAATAAATAAAATTTAAATACCAACTATTTTATTGTCTTGGTTGAGGATTATTGCTGAAAATCATTTAGCTCTTCACCAAAAATGCTTAATTTATTTTACATATGAACGAATTCATAATTCTTTCAACCACCATTATATACCTTTGCCAAGTTATTGCATTTGAAATATTGAAATATAAGCATTATCTTACTGATATCTTATTTACACTCCCAATACTCTCATCCCCTTTTACACACACATCAATTGCTTCAACAAACTCCAGGTACTAATTATGACCAAAAAACCCCAAATATCTCTTCAACAACTCCCACAAGACCACCATTACAACAAGATAAGAAACACCAAGATCCAGCTTGTCAGCGACACCACACAATGAAGATAGTCAACATGCTAGAGAATTTTAGCAAGATATGGAATTCAGATATATTAAGAGTGAAAATACCGATACACCTGGAAAGCTACAGAACTTTATCGATGAACTACATATAAAAATTAAATAACAAAAATTACCCAACAAAAATTAAATAACGAATTCGTGGTTAGCAATTAATACTAAACCTACTTTATATGTTCAAACCTTATGGGGGTCATACCTTAAATTCTGTAATGAAGCTCTATACAGCTTACAAATGGTTAAGTATATATATGTAAAATAAGTATAACAAATAAACAACAAATAACAAATATTATATGTGTAATGAAATTGTAGTTTATTGAATAATATAGAATAAAAAAAAACCTCTGAAGTTTTAGACTGAGAGCTTGAGGTATTTATACTGAATGAGATTGGTTCTAGAAGCTAATTCTTAAGTTAGTTGGAAATACTGGAATTGGTAGTTACTAAACAGTAGTCAGTAAACAGCAGTTAGTGACTCTTAATAAGTCTAGGGTCATAGCGTTAATATAGCGATATCATAACAGTAAGTAGTATATATATGGTCGGACGGGGGGCAGTTATACTTCAATTCCTTGTGCATCTGGATTCTTAGCTCAGTGGTAGAGTATGCGACTGCAAATCGTTTGGTCACCAGTTCAATCCTGGTAGGGTCCTTTTTTTATGGAAATTTATCTTTCCGGTGTTTTTAAAGGTTAACAACATGTATGTAAATGAACGATCGAAATCGAGATCTCTATAGCACCATCGCAATGGTTCATCTTGAGGGTTTATTTGGTAGTCGTATTCGCTGCCACCATTGAATTTATCAAGTTTAGATTGAGGTGTCTTTCGGTAAATCAATGTGTTTGTACTTTTATTATAATTGCATCTGCTATCTTTACCAGTACTTTCATATAGGTATTCTTTTAGTGAATTTATATTAAAATATTCTCGAGTTGAATTACAGAATAATAGTAGATGGCCATAATGGTCATTGTTCATAGGTATATTACACATTGGGCATGTTCTTTTATGTAGAAGATTTTTTGGTAGGCATCTTGCTTGCAATCTGAAAAGTGTATTTCTACCTTTTGGATCCTTGAGTTTTAATATATTATTGAATAATTGGTTGTAACGGTATCCTCTAATATCCAGGATAATTTGAAAGCATGTTTTGGGAATTTTTTCTGGTAGTTTCATATTGATATATATCTAAAAATTTATATTAAAAACATTAAATAAAATTTACTGATTAATTTAAAGCATTTGCTTTTAATTAATTAATTATCTTCCCTTTTTTTTAAAAAAAAATAGTCATTTAATCAATCAATTATAATAATTAATAGTTTTAATAATTAAAAATAATTAAATTTAAAAAAATAAAAAATAAAAAAAAAAAAAAATAAAATTTTAGAAAATAATAAATTTACAAAGTTATTATTAAAAAAAAAAAGGATATTAGTTTATAAAAATATATTTTAAAATTGATTTTGTTTTTAGAATTAGATTTTATTTTTTTATTCATTTAATTTTCTAAAAAAGTTAATGATCAAACAATTGATTAATCTTTTTTTAAAACTAAAAAGATAATATCAAATGAAATGTTAAAATTTGGATTTGATTCTAATTTATGAATAAATCTATTATAAAATTGATTATAAATTTTATTAACAGTTTTTTCATCACCTTTAATTTCCTTCTTGATATAACCACCTTGGTAACCTAGTGTCGAGTCTACGAAATATTTAATGGCATTATTTTTTGAAGTTGTAGCTTCCCTACTTTCTTGATTCCAATCAAGGAAAACATATTTCTCTGCTTGACGTTTAAAACCCTCATTCATATTTTCTAAAACTCTATCGATTATACTTTTTCTAAAAAAGATGAGTGGAAGAGTCATATCATAAACCTCTTGATGACTGAGAATTTTTTCATTTGCCATTTCTCTGAAAATGTCTTTGGCACCTCTATAACAATCTTCAGTTATTTGTAATTGTTCGTCTGTTTTACCAGCACATAAATTAGAAATAAAAGAACCACCGTTTTTTAATTCTTTGTAACGAATATCTATTGTTTTCTTTAATCTTTCATAAACATAGAAGTCAATTAGGGAGTGGTGTTTTTACACATTGGAAAAAGGTCATTACTTTTTAGTGATGGTTCATTTTCGTCACCCCAATGTAAAGTACAGAATGATATAATGATATCCATAGAGCTATCTGGTACCAATTGATTCATAAATGAAGAACCCCTTGAATAATAGTAAATGTTGTCCCATTTTTTTAAATAAGATTGTAAGTCGTTATTTATGTGAAGGAAAAGCTTGGTAAAATCATTTTTTTCTTGATCTGCATGAATAATTTCAATCAACTTGTTGCATTTCATTTCATCTCTAATAATGGAAATAAAAAAGTTTAATTGAATATTTGAGTTGTATCCATGAGAACAGCCAATATCGAAAATTTTAATTGATTCTCTTTTTTCTTGTATGTTTAATTCAACTGATTTTATTATACTTTTTTTGGATAAATATAAATTATTTAAAACAGGTCTTAATTGTGGAGAACAAATAAAATTATAATTTTCTTGCATTTCAAAACTGAAATAATATAAGCTTATTAGTAAAACTATTTATTTATGATAATTTTTTTATAATTTTAATTTGCCTCTTTTTTAATAAATAATTATAGTTTCTGTAAGATTTTGAATAGGATTAATTCATGTATTTTGGTTTTAAAATTTTGTTACTACCAAATTCTAATGTCATTTATATATGATAAAAAACCTTATATTGAAGTTTTTATACTAATTCCAGGTTTATTGTATTAAAAGAGATCCTTTTTTTGAAAAATATAGCGATATTAAAACACCATTTCACGAGTGCACTTGAACATATTCATGTATATGGATTGTTCCTGAGCTGTTTTCTTTTTGACCAAGGTGGAGTATTTGAACTTAATAAATGTTGTGGGATGGTATTACTTAATAAAATATTTTTGATATTCACTATGACGATGGTAAGTTAATTGAATCATGCTCACCATTAGAATCACCAGTGTTGAAACTGGATCTATAATGGGTGTTATAAATATTGAAATCTTTTCTGAAAATAGAGCCTTGATTATAGTATAACTTTTTTTATAAAAAATTTAATTTTTATGATTATTTCTGGAGGTTTTTTATATAGAAATTTTTTTTTGAAAAAAATCTTTATTTGAAATTATTTTATTTTTTTTAGTTTTTTTAATTTTTTTTTAATTAGATTGTTATTTTTTTTTTTTATATAAACAATGGAAGAGCTTCTATCATCTCTAATTAGCTTTCGAGTAAATGAAGAGTTAAAAAACAGTAGTAATATTGGTGATAGGTAAGTACAATACAATACAATACAATACAATACAATACAATACAATACAATACAATACAATACAATACAATATTTATAAATATAAATATAAATAATCGATTAATTAAAAGCATATTAATTAGTGTTTTCTCTTTTTAACTATTTATTATAGATTGTTATATATAGTTTGGAATAATATATTTTTAAGAAATGAAATTCATAAACATATTTTAAAGTTTATTAAACATAGTGTTGCAGATCTTGATATAAAAGGTTATGACCAGTTTAAAGATAAATCATATATAACAACACTTAGGTGGAGTGGTAATCGACTACCAGATGGAAATGAATTTCCACCTTTTTTGACAAATTTATATTTGAATTGTTTTAATAAGTTACCAACAACTTTACCAAATACAATTACTACCCTCTCGATGGGTTATGATTTTAACCAAGTAATTCTACCTGGCACATTACCAAGGTGAGGAGTAACACCGTAAAAAAACATCTGGATCCTGATATCCACCCAAATTCAGAACTCTGCCATTTTAAATGGTATGAATCGTTAAACGATACCCGGTCCGGTCTCATCAATCAGAATGCATTGCAGGTATAACACAGACTAGACCAAACCACAAAGATTGTAATACTGATCTTAGTGGTCCCGGCTTATATGAACAGAAGCTGGCTCTGACTACCACAGAAAAAATAGCCAAGGTAATAATCAATATGTCCGCACCAAGTGAATCAATGAATTCCTAAACAAAGTAAAAACATAACATTAATACTAAAAAAAAACTATAAATAAAGTGGTCAGTTCATGACTAATAATTAAATACCAAATAGTCTCACAACACTCAAATTCGGCTTTTGTTTTGACCAAGAAATTCCACCCGGCTCATTACCAAATAGTCTCACAACACTCACTATCGGCCATTGTTTTAATCAAGAAATTCTACCCGGCACATTACCAAATAATCTCACAACACTCACTTTCGGTTATTATTTTAACCAAGTTCTACCCAACACATTACCAAATAGTCTCAAAACACTCACTTTCTGTCATTATTTTAATAAGAAATTTTCACTAGGCTCATTACCAAATAGTCTCACAACCCTCACTTTCGGTCATAATTTTAACCAAGAAGTTTCACCTGGCTCATTACCAAATAGTCTCACAACACTCACTTTCGGTCATAATTTTAACCAAGAAGTTTCAACTGGCTCATTACCAAATAGTCTCACAACACTCACTTTCGGTTTTGATTTTAACCAAGTAATTCTACCCAGCATACTACCAAATAGTCTCACAACACTCAATTTCGGTGGTGGTTTTAAACAAGTAGTTCCACCTGGGACATTACCAAATAGTCTTACAACACTCACTTTCGGCTATAACCAAGTAGTTCTACCTGGCACATTACCAAATAGTCTTATAGCACTCACTTTCGGTGGTGGTTTTAACCAAGTAGTTCTACCTGGAACATTACCAAATAGTCTCACAACACTCACTTTCGGTTTTGATTTTAACCAAGTAGTTCTACCCAGCACATTACCAAATAGTCTTACACTCACTTTCGGTTGTGGTTTTAACCAAGTAATTAGACCCGGTACATTACCAAATAGTCTCACAACACTCACATTTGGTCGTAGTTTTAACCAAGTAGTTCTACCCGGTACATTACCAAATAGTCTCAAAACACTCACATTCGGTGAAGATTTTAACCAAGTAATTAAACCCGGCACATTACCAAATAGTCTCAAAACACTCAGATTCGGTTTTGATTTTAACCAAATAATCAACCCCGGCTCATTACCAAATAGTCTCACAACACTCACATTCGGTGATGGTTTTTACCAAGTGATTCCACCTGGCACATTACCAAATAGTCTCACAACACTCACATTCGGTGGTGGTTTTAACCAAGTAGTTTCACCCGGAACATTATTCATAATCGAGTAAAATCTACATTACATTCACTTAAAAAAAACTACCTCTGTTTTTGATTTTTCTTTTCATAGGTTTTCAGAATCACACACAAATTGATAAATGTGTTTAAATTCTAATATTAAAAAAATAAAAATAAAATTACATGACTTTAGGTATCATTATCTTCACTTTTAAAAAAAAAAAAAAAATTTGACTTTAAGTTAAACGCAAAGGTTCCTAACCTTCAAAATAAGTAGAAGGGAGCTTTAAATAAAATTTAAATCCATAAATCATCTATACTTTTTTTTTTTTTTAACCTTAATCACGGATTTTTGTCCTTACCATTCAATTTGAATGGAGGAAAGTTTAATACAAAAAACATAAAAAAAAAAAAACACAACAAATAAACGACTTTACGTATAATTAAAAAAAATCTTGGTCAAAAAAAAAAAAAAAGAAATTAAAAAAATTTAAGAAATTTATTTTTTTACACAGTTTTGTAAATCATATGTCAGATATAATTTTTTTTTTTTTTTTTTTTTTTTGTTTTTTTTTTTAATTTTTTTTTTTATATCTTCACATTAAAAAAAAAAATATAAAAAAAAATAAAAAAAAAATAAGGTCGTTAATAAATACAAACAATGCAAAAACTATACCTTATATTTTTACTTGTTACCTTATTAGGTTTCACATACGCAAAAGAAAATATTTTATCAAAACAATCATTATGGATGTCCGTTGATCAAAAAGGTGACATACCTTTCACAAAGATTGTAAATAACAAAACAGTCGATGGTGGCCAATGGGACGGTTCAAGCTACTATAATGATAAAACAGATAAATTCTATATCTTTGGTGGATTAAACGGTTCATATCCTGAAGATGAGGCAAATCCAACATTTTCGGTATTAGACTTAAAAACATTAGTATGGACAAACTTGTTGGGTAGTGATACTCCAGCACCAAGAGCAGAAGCAATGTTATGGGGTGATGAAAATGGAAAGTATGTTTATTTATCCGGGGGTCGTGGTCCATTCAGACGTGGTAAAGATTTAACATTCAATGATACCTTTGCCTACAATGTTATGGAAAGTAAATGGTACCAAATTTACCAAACTCCTGAGCAACAACAATTAGCCAATAGATCAACTGAAGCTAAAGTTGTAGGTAACAAAGCATATGCATATGCTGGAACTTCATCAACAATGTCATCATTCATTAACAAACCAGGAGCTATTCAAACAAACGTCATTGTTTATGAAGATATTAAAGGTTGGAAAAATGTAACCGTTAACTGTGATAAATGCAAAGATCAATGTATCCCAACTCCAAGAGGTCATCATCACTTATGCTATAATAAAGAAAGAAACTCATTATTTACTTATGGTGGTTATACTAAAGACTCCAATGGTACATCTTCATTCGCACCAACTAACTATTTAGAAGATTTATGGGAATTTAATTTGGAAAATTCAACTTGGACCCAGCATATGAACTCAACCAATGTAACTCCAGGATTACGTGATAACGGCAAATTCGTATACTGTAACAAAGATGTACTTTATATGATTGGTGGATCCGACTATAATAGCAAAAACTTTATTGATTTATGGAAATACCAATTCAAAACAAAATCATGGGAATTTGTTTCAGCCTCAGCATTACTCGACGAAAATAATAATGCAATTAAACCACCAACACCAATAGGTTCATATTATTTCTCACGTAATGATGCTTATGGAAATCACGAATTCTGGATCTTTAGTGGTGCATCAAGTGAATTCCAACCAAGCATATTCGAAAATAAATTATGGAGATTAACAGTCACAAAAAAAAATGATCGTTTATAAATAATTAATTTTATTTTAAAAAAATAAAAAATAAAAAATAAATTAATAAAAAAGATCATATACATTTCCCCGAAAATGTATGTTGACCCTATATTAAAATAATTTGGTATAAATTATACCTTATTTTAAAATTCAAAATTATCAAACAGGTTATTTAATTATTTTAATATTTAATAAAATTTTTCGTTATAATTTTTAACAGAAAAAAATTTTATTTTTATTTAATTCTTTGTTTACTGGATGGCAAATAAACTCATACCAACAAAATATTCTTTAATATCTGAAATATTTAATGAATAATCGCCCAAATTATAATTTTTTAAATAGTTTTCGGTTAAAGGATATGTAGTCACAGTTGGATAAATTCTATAATCGTCGTAAAAATTTCCATCTATTGATGCATTTTCAAAAATTGATTGAGATTCGAAAACATTATCGAAACAAGATTCAGGATCGTTTGAACCACATCTGGAGGCAGAGCATAATTGAGCATAAAAAAATCCATTAAAAAAGCCACTAAAACTAATTAAAGAGTATAACTGACCAGATTCGACATTGGAGGATGTTGAGTAGATGAAATTACATGTAAAGTTATTATTTATACTTGTAATTGATTGATTAACTTGGTTAGGTTCGATTGTAAATGGTACAATTGTGGCATTAATACTGGTTGGGGTTTCTACACTACTACCAAATGACTCATGTTTAAAAGCTTGGTAATTTGACTCTTTATAATTAACGCTTGATGCTTGAATAGATGGGTCTTTTGGAACTCCTGACTCTTTACGATTAACGCTAGGTGCTTGAATAGATGGGTCTTTTGGGATTCTTGAAACCAATAACTTGTTTTCGGGTTTAGTGGTTGGATTTAAAAATGATGAAAGGAAATTACCATTGGAATAGATGCCAGAACCACTAACCAAAGAAGTTGAACCAATATTGGCTGCTAAAACGTTTGCATTATTTAACTTTGACCAAGATTGTTGGATTTCACGAGCATATGCATAATTTACATTTACCCATTCGGTGGAGTACACCAAATTTTTAATACTATAATTTTGAATTAATTGTTGCTGTGGCTCTTGAAATAAAATATCAAAACAAATAAGCATACCAAATGTGACATTAAAATCTGTTGTAAATACTACTGGTTTGGGTGGAATCGATGGATTAAAATAAGACTCGCCGTATAAATGCGATTTATGATATTTTGCCAATATCTCACCCTTTTGTGAAAATGCAACTTGTGTATTGTACTGGAATCTACCATCTGATGGGCAATTACTGTCAGTTTCATTATTGCAATATTGCAAATCGCCCATATCAACGACCATAACAATTTTATTTTTGATTGCAATACAACTTAATGCCTGCAAAATAGTTCTATTTAAAAACTCATCACCATTACATGGTATTATCTAGATATATAAAATACATAAATTAATTAAAAACATTAGTAAATTATAATATTAAAAATGATTCATAAAGACTACTTACAGGTGATGAGGATTCTGATGGATCTGGTATAATTTCAAGGTATGGAAAAACTCCATCTCTTGTTGCAAAGGCCCCACCCAACAAACCATATTCTGGGAATACTATAATTTGTGCACCTTGACTTGCTGCTTGTCTTGCATACTCGTCATATTCTTTAACATTGCCTAAAACATATGCTAATGGTGTTTCGTTTGGATCTCTGTAGTTATATATTCTTGGTGAATATTCCAAGACTGCACCTATATAATAATCATTATCGTTACCGCTATCTGCATTTATAATAGTATCATCATGATTATAATTATTTTTGTAGTGAGTATTAAAATTTAAAAAATCGTTTTTTTTATCGTCTAAAATAAATTTTAATGAATCTGAAAAATTAAAAAAAAATAAAAATAAAAAAATTGTTATTGAATTTTTAACCATTTTTTTTTTTACACACACAAAAAAAAAATTTATAAATATATTAATATAAATTATAGTAAAGACAACTATTTATATATAAACCATAAAAATAATTAATTCAATAAAATAAATATCATAAAAAAATAATTTAATTATTTTTAAATTACAAAAAAAATAAAAAAATAAAAAAATAAAAAATAAAAAAAAGGAAAATTATTTTATAAAATTATGTAAAATTTTTAAAAACTACACGTAAAAATTTTTTTCATTTTTTCTTTATTACAAATCGAATTAATGTAAAAAAAATAAAATTTATTTTGTTGAGATATTTTATTATAATTATTTATTTTTTATTTAACATATTTTTTTCTAAAGAATCTATTAGTGAATGTTTAAATTGCTCAATAGAATCGTTTATAATTTTTTTTGAATCTTGCAAAGTTATTAAATTTATATTATTTCTGCAATTTTTGCAAATGCCATCTTGTGGTTGTGGTGGTTGTGGTTGTGGTGGTTGTTGATTTGTAATTTGGTTTTTTAATTTTTTATTTAGATCTTCAATCATTTCAATTAATTCTGGAATGAGAAAAAAAAAAAAATTAATATATTAATATAAATATATTTATTTAATCCACCCAATTTTGTCTATTTATATAATTACCATTTTTTGAATAAAATAAATAACTATTATTATTTGATAGTGATGATTTCAACCACAGTTCTTTTGAAGTTTGATTATTATTATTTTTGATATTATAAAGTGAGCCCCTTTGAATTAATAATTCGATACAATTCATGTGACCGTTGATAACTGCGATATGAAGCGGAGTATTGCCATTGTTCGATTGTATGTTTATATCTATTGAAGGTTGTTCTAATAGGATCTTAGCGCCATTATAGAAACCATTTAAACAACAGAGATATAACGGTGATTCTCCACTAACATCTCTAGAGTTTAAAATTGCTTCCAATCTGCCGATTCTTTTAGAGTGTTCCAAAATTGCACCCAACGCTAAATGCTTACCTTCCAAACATGCCCAATGTAGTGGTGTTAATTCTTCGTGGTCTTTAATGGTCATTAAATCTACATCTCCTAAAATTTTAATTAAATATCTAACTATCGCTTCATTTCCTGATGCTACACCTAAATGTAAATAACTTTCTCCTGATAATCCTCTTGAGTTGTTTAAACTTTCGATATCATGATTTTTAACGATTTGAATATGACCAAATTTAATAGCTTGTACCAAACTATAATCCATATAATAACAAAAATGAAATTATTAATATTAATTTTTTTTTAAAATAATAAAAAAAAAAAAAAAAAAAATTGTTATAAAATTATTGAAAAAAAAAAAAAAAAAAAAAAAAAAATTAAATTCAAATTTTTTTAATTTATTTTAAATAGAAATTGACATATTTAGAAATGATATTTTTTGATTTTGAATTACAATACTAATTTCTAAACACCAAATCAATTGTAACTATTTAATATAGGTTCACTAACTTCAGTTTTTAAAGAAAGTAGATAAAATTATACACAATGAAAATCACGTGATTAAACAATCATACAAATAAAAAAAAAAAAAAAAAAAAAAAAAAAATGAAAAAAAATGCTTTTTTGGTTTTAAGAGAAAAAAAAAAAAAAAAAAAAAAAAAACGGTTATTTAGATATTTTTGCATTATTGCACATATTTTTTTTTTTCCTTTCTTTTCTTTTCTTTTATTTTAAATATAAATTTATATATCTATATAAATATATTATTTCTATTATATATATATAAATAAATAGAATGTCAAATAAAAGATTTGATCAAATCGGTTCACTTTTAAATCAATTAAATGACATAACACAAAACATAAAAAATAAGAAATCGCACATTGGAGGAGATAAAGATAATGTTGGATATAGGGATTTAATTAAACAAGTATGTTTTTAAAATAATAAAATAATAAAATAGATCAACTCCAAAATAAGATCAGTTTTAAAAATTATAATTTATTGATTTTATTTCATTTATTTTTTTATTTATTTATTTCTTAGGAAATTAGCAGAGGAAAAGAAACAATAAATAATATAAAAAAAGAGTTTTCAAATGGTTTTGATAGAAATGATAGAATAAAGGTTAAAAAGTTACAATCACAATTTGAAGAATTGAGCAAGCAGTTTGAAAAAGAATGTACAGAGATTATAGATTTACAATTAAGAAATGCTATTGGAAGCAAAGGTAGATCAGGATCATTGTCAATTAACAGTAGAGGTGATAGCAAGAGATCGGGTTCGTTCGCTGGTAGAGTGCAACCAGTTGTACAACCACATCAAGAATACAGTAACCAAACCACACAGGAATTGCAATTACAACAATTGGAAATTACATTGTCCGATGCACAACCAGTCGAAGAAATGATTTTAGAGGAATATAACAATGAAGTTAAAACCTTGGTCAAAGAGTTAGTAATGATAAAAGAAATTACCGGAGATCTTCAAGCTTTGGTAGTTGAACAAGGTGTTCAAATTGAGCAAGCCAATACTCAAGTACAAATCAGTTCAATGGATATAGAGCAAGCCAATGTTCAATTAAAGGAAGCAAATTCTTTGGCTAGCAGTTATCGTAAAAAAATTGTCATTCTTGTAATTATATTGTTGATCATTATTGGTGTAGTTGTTGGTTTATGTGTTGGTTTATTAAAATAGGGCCAATAATAAAAACAATAATTATTATAATAATTTAAAAAAAAAAAAAAATTCTAAAAAAAAAATAAATAAAAAAAATAAATAAAATCTTTATTTGTATATAATCAGATTTAATTACTTTTTTTTTTTGTCCTTTCTTCATTTATTATTTTAGTTTCAATTTTATTTTTGTTTGTATTTGAAAATAATTTTTAAAAATTTATTCATTAAAACACCACACCACACATGCACAAAACAAAAACAATCCAAATGAAAATATTGATTCAGTCACAATGGCACTTTACCAAAAGATTATGATAATCAAATTTAACAATCATTTTTTTTTTTTTTTTTTTTTCAAATAAAAAAAATCTATCTATAACTTTTTTGGAGACCCCAAAAAAAATTTTATAATATTATTTTTTTATAAAAAAAAAAAAATTAAAATAAAAATAAAAAATAAAAAATAAAAAAAATTTAAAAAAATTTTTTATAACTATCTTTTTTTCTTTTTTTTTATTTTTTTTTTTTTTTTTAATAATTATATATTAAATTTATTAAGAGATAGCTCTTTGTAACAATTTAAATATTGTAATATAGTAATCAGAATTTCCTTTGAAACAAAAGGATTTTTTTTTTTTTATATTTTTTTAGTTATTTTCAGTTTTTCCTATATACATAATTTATATATATCTATTTATTATTTATTGCAATATAAAATTATTAAAGGTAAAAAAACAAAAAAAATAAAAAAAAATCACAAAATAAAAATCAATAAAATAAAAAAATCAATAAATAATAAAATCAACAAATAAGTATATAAATTGTTTTCAATAGGGTTTTTTTTTTTAATTTCTTTTTTTAAATATTTGTGTAATTTTATTGTGGGTTGTGGGGAAATAAAAATATTGTATTGGATTTTTATTATATGGTGTCTTTTTATTTTTATATTAATTAAACAATAGATCATCATAAGAGTAGTAATAGTAATATTAATAATAGATAGTTATAATAACACAGGATAAAATATCCATATAGAACATAAAAAAAATAAAAAAATAAAAAAATAAAAAGTTTACAATCACTATTCAATATTACTATCAACATTTAACATCATCTTTGTACCAAAATTAAAATCATTGGGTTATTTCATTGGAATTTAAAGAAAACTTTATAACATTTATAAAAATAGTTGGAATATACCACATTTTCATTCACATATAAATCATATTAAATATTTAAAATAAATCAGCAGACTACTATTTTAGTAAATTTATTATTGTTACTATAGAAATTATAGATATCTATTAAAACTACTATTATTATTAATATTACTAAAATTGGAGTAAATAAACCCTATTTTTTTTTTATAGTATAGCTATAATACTTATTATATATATATAGAAATTTAATAAAATTAAAAATTATATTTAATTATATTTACTAATATTATAATTTTTTTTTTTTTTCAATCATTTTACAGAATAAAACCAAAAATAGGAAATTTAATAACATATAATAATATAATCCAATAATAGTTTAATTTATTTTTTGTAAAATAGTTTTTTTTTTAAATATTTATATATTTAAATTTTTTATTTTTAATTTTTAATTTTATTTTATTTATTTGTTTTTTAAAACCCACACAAAATTAAAAAATTTTAATCACATCACAAAAAAGTATCTAAAAAATTAAATAATCTTTCAAACAACAACAACAAAAATAATAAAATAATTTTTTAGATATAAAAATATAAAAAATATAAAGATGTCAGTAAAAGATTATATGAGCAGTTCTCATGCAAATTGGGAAAATATCCAAATTGACGTAAGTAATTCAAAAACTAACATTATCAAAAATTTAAATCAAAAAAGTTAATTTTAACAATTTTTTTTATTTATTTTTAATTAAAAGTCATTTACAAGTTGGATAAATCAACATCTTTCAGAAAGAGGATTAAGTGTTAAGGATCTATCAGTCGATTTTCAAGATGGTGTTTTATTAATAAATTTATTAGAAATTCTTTCAGGCAAAAAGATACCACGTTATGTCAGATCACCAAAATTCCTTCAACATAAAATTGATAATATTATGATTGCATTTGGGTTTATGGAAAAAATTTTTGATATCAAAGTATTTGGTTGTAACGCTAAAGATATTGTCGATGGTAATTTAAAGCAAACTATGGGTGTAATATTTCTTTTAATTCAAAAAATAAAAGTAAATTTACATTTAGATCATTTACAACAAGAGAGTGGTTCTACTTCACCAACCCCAGATGGTGCTTCATCTAATGCTCCATCTACTACCGGTGCTGCCAAATCAGGTTCAAAATTATTTTATAGAGCTAGTCTTGCTACTAATGCAGTTAATAGATTTTCCCATATTACCCCAAATAGAGAAAATAAAGAAAATATTTCAACAACATCCACAACACCAGCACCTTCATCAACAACCACATCAACACCTTCATCAACAGTCAGTACTACTCCATCATCTACAATACCAGTTACAAATGAAAATAATGTTCCAACTGTTTCAACAAATGTGCCAACCAATAACAATATTGCACCAGCTAGTAATGGTATTAGAATTTTACCAACTACAGGGGTATCAGTCAGTACAATTAGATCTAAATTTTTAATTGATGAAAAACATAATACATTCTCACCATCATCTTCATCATCACAAACCGAAAAAGTTTTAAAGAGAACCGAATCTGGTCACGTAATTTCGGGTGGTCTCTCATTAAGTGGTTCATTTGATAGACATGATCCATTGACTAGATCTGTTAGTCTTATCGAAATCAAATTAAATGATCATCAAACTAAATTTTACGACTTAAAGAAAATTATTTTCATGCAAGCTCACATTCGTGGTTTCTTAATCCGTTTAAGATGGAAGGAGCTTCTTAGAAGATACCGTACTAAATTAACTCAATTCAAACAACATTTCGAAGGAAATTCAAAGGCTCACAAGGGTTTATTAAAAGCCCAAGCTTCCATTAGAGGTAAAATTCAAAGAAAGAAACTCTTCAAAATGTTCCCACTCTATCGTAGAAATGAAATTGTTAAAGAAATTATTTCGACTGAAGATAAATATGTACATTCATTAGCTACTGTTACTACTCAATACCTCAAACCATCTGAAGCTTTCTTAACCACCCAACAAGTTAGAAGCATTTTCTCACAAATTGAAATTATCTATCGTTACAATAGTTTAATCTTGGAAAAACTTCAAAACAGAAATAAAATTTGGTATTCATCTGGTCAAAAAATTGGTGATATTTTCATCGAAATGTCAGAGTTCCTTAAAGTCTATACCATCTATGTAAATAACTATAACAATTCAATTCAAACCATCACCGAATGTATGGAAAATCAAAAATTTGCTGCATTATTAGATAAAAATCGTAATCAATTGAATTTAGATCTTTCAGCCTTTTTAATTATGCCAATTCAAAGATTACCTCGTTATATTTTACTTTTACAAGATCTTTTAAAGAATACCAAAGAAACTCATACCGATTATAATGACCTCTCAATTGCATTAAAGAAAATGAAGGATGTTGCAGAGTATGTAAATGAAAAGAAAAGAGAAGCCGAAAATCTTAATCAAGTATTAAATATTCAATCTAGTCTTACTGGTAAATTTAATAATTTAGCAGAGCCACATAGAAGATATGTTAAAAAAGGTACTCTTATTTCAAATGATAAAATCTACCTTTACTTCCTCTTCAACGATCTTTTAGTTAAAACCGAAAACAAAGCAGTTACCAAAATTCGTGATAGTGCACGTTTAAGTAGTAGCAGTGGGGGCAATAGTAAAGGCACCTTTACATTTAACCCAAAAGAAATTGTATCTGAAGGTAAATCAAAATATTTAAATTCATTCTTTTTAGCAGGAAGTTCATTGGTCGATAATAACCCAGATGGTTTTACCTTTCAAATTATTGGTGTTGGTGATGCAAACGAATTAAATAATAACGATAGTTCACCAACTCTTTCTTTCTCTCCATTTTCAACCTCTGTTAGTAATATCTCCTCAACTCCAATGTCTCCATCACCACTTTTAAGTGCCGGTAGTATTCCAACCACATCGATTAGTTTAGAGGCTCTTTCACTTAACGAAAAAATGACATGGATGGGTGAATTGGATGAATGTATTTACCAATTATTAGAAAAAACAAGAAGCAAAAAAAGATCACTTATTACCGATGTTGAAGAATTAACTACTCTTCCTTACGATACAAATGTTGTTAAAGATAATGAATTTTCAAATGTTTTAGAAAAGAAACATAGTGAAATCTCCTGGAGAGCAAAGAAGTTTTATTTAAAGAATACCCACCTCTACTACCATCGTATTCCATCAAGCGAAAAAGAACCAACCAAAATTAAATGTATAAACTTAATTCTTTGTTCAGTCAAATTGGCTCAGGTTGTTGATCATCCACATTGCTTCCAATTAATTACACCATCAAGAATTTACTTTTTCTCATGCTCTGACTCTACAAATTTATTCCAATGGATTTCATCTATTAGATTATCAATTAAAAAGAAATTAGAATCATTAAAAGAGGAGGACACTATTTCTGCTTCATTATCTGTAAGCTTTGGTGGCTCAGGTAGTGCTTTTAATCCACTTTCAAGCCACCCACCACAAAAAAATCTTGAGCTTCAACATAGTTTAAGTTCATCTTTAAACTCAACTCCTACAGTTTCATCACCTACCATTTCATCACCAAGCTCAGCCACAACAATTGCTTCACAGGTATTTTATCAAACTTCAATATTTTTATTAACTCCTATCTATAATTCTTTTAATACTAGTAATAACTCTTTATCATCATCATCATCTATATCTTTTCCTTTTCTTTCTTCACCAAATTCAATTAAAAATTTTAAAAGGCCAAAATCTTTTCCAATCTATAATAATAATTCGAAAAATATTTTTAATGACGATTTATTCATTAATCAATTAAATAATAACAATAATTTTGGAGTTATTGGATCATTTTTTAATGAAACTAAAAAATTTATTAAATCACACAAAAGAGCAACCTCAACAATTAATTAATCAACTATATCTATCCTCTATCTCTTTCCTTTATCCTATCTTTTTTTTTTTTTTTTTTTTGGCAACCAAAAATATTAAAATTTTTTTTTTTTTTTAGGAATCAATTTTAAATATAGCAGGAAATAACTTATGTGCTGAATGTGGAGCATGCGATCCAAGTTGGGTATCAATCAATTATGGTGTTGTAGTTTGTTTAGATTGTTCTTCAATTCATAAAAATTTACCAGATAACAATGTAAAGTCAGTAAGATCACTTTCAGTAGCTTTCTCGGATATCGTAAAGAAACAAGAGGGTAATACTAAAGCCAATAGTAGATATGAAAGAAATATACCAACAAATATTGTAAAACCAAACCCAAAAGATAACTATGAAACCAAATTAACTTGGATTAAAGCAAAATATTTAACTCAAACCCCATCATCTGATAACTTAGCCTCAATTCAAATTACTTCAGATTCACCAAGTTTAAATCCCTCATCACCACAAAAAGATGAAAATGTAAAATTAGAAAGTATAAGCGGTAGAAATACTCCATCAATTGAAATTAATAATGATAATAGTAATAATAATAATATAGACAATACTAGTAATAATAATGATAGACCAATTACACCAACCCCTGTCGCATCAAATATCAATAATGAAAGACCAACAACACCAAAAGAAGAGGTTATTGAAGGTTTAAATTTAAAGAGTGGAACCGATACATCAAATGGTAAAGGTACATGGAGAAGTGGTAATCATCACAGCGAAAGAAAGGCAAGCTTTTTAGATAAACCAAGTAGAGTCCCACCACAAAAAAGAGAACACGAAGGTTACCTCTATAAAACCAGTAGACCTACTTCAAAAGATGCAGGTGATTGGAAAAAATATTTATTCATCTTTAAAGACGATGTAATTACATATTACAAAGTTTCAAAGAAAAATAAGAAAAAAGAAAAGGGTATCATCGATCTTTTCCATTCAGTAAAACAAGAATTTGACCGTCCAAAGCAAAAATACTCATTTACTTTAATTACTTCACAAAGATTATATTTCTTAGCTGCCGAAACTGAAGAAGAAATGAAATCTTGGTTGGATGTCCTTAATTCTGCAATTAAACCATAAATAAAAAAGTTATAAATTATAAAAATTATTTTTTTCGTTTTTTTTTTTTTTTTTTTTTTTACAAAAATATATTTTTTTGATTTTTATTTTGTACATTGTCAATGCAAACACAGTGATAGCATAAAATAAAAATTTAACACGGAAAATTACAAAACTGGGGCAATAAATTTTTTTTAGATTTTTTTTTTATTTTTTTGTAAAAATTTTTTTTATTTTTTTTTTTTAATAAAGCTTTAAAAATAAATTTATACTACATAAAAAAATTGTTTTTAAGAAATAATGAAGGTAATAATATTATTTTTTATAATTTTATTAGTAAACTCTTGTTTTTCAAAAGGGTTTTTTGATGTTAAAAAGATTTTGGGTGAGGGATCAGATGGGTGTTTATATTCAGATACTGTAGGTAATAAATTTGACCTTTCATCAATAGGTTATCTTACATTTAAAGATGCCAATTCTGATACAGATAGAGGTTATGGTTTAAATGGTAATGTTCATTATACTTTATCTTAAATTTTATAACACTATTTTTAACACACTATTTTTAAATTAAATATAGTATGTCAACAATTAACAGGAGATCAATTATGTGGTGATCAAGTTAATGCAGCAATTTGTACAACTGATGATTTTGGTACACCTTCTCAATGGCAACCAAAAGTTTTAGGTTATCTTCCAGGAAAACAAAGTGATTCAGCTTCAAAAAATAATTTAACTTTGACATATGACGGTCAAAATTGTATTATTGGTATGAATAGATTTATTGTTTCAACAACTCTTAATGCAGTATGTGGAGGTGAAAATAGGATTACAAGTATTATCCCAAGCAGCCAAGTATTATGTGCAAAAACTTTTATTGTAAATATTTTATTACTTTATAGATTTATAAATGAAAAAAAAAAAAAAATAGAAAAGTATTAACTTTTAATTTTAATTTTAGATTAATATCGAGTCTCCAGTATTCTGCTCAAAATCAAGTGGTGGTATTTCAGGTGGTGATGTTTTCTTAATTATGTAAGTTATTTAAAGTTTAGAGTTGAATTAATATTATAGAACATTTTTATATTAATATTTAAATTTAAATTTTTTATTCCAGATTTTTCGTTGGTTTAGGTTCTTATTTTATTATTGGTATTATTGTTCAAGCTATTAGAAAGCATAAAATGGGTCATCCAGTTGATTCTATTATTCCAAATATTGAGTTTTGGAAATCTTTTGGTAGTCTTATTAAAGATGGTGCATTATATATTAAATTCAAAGTATCAGGTACACCAGGAGGTAGTTATCAAGCAATTTAAATGTAAATAAATTAAAATCTAAAAAAGTTTATACCAATTGTATAAAAATTTATTTTTCCCATAGTCATAAATCTTTTTCTTTTTCTTTTTTTTAATCTTTTAAACAATAAATTATTATTTGTAAGAAATGAAGCAATAAAAACGAAGGGTTAATGTTTATTATTTTGGTTTAAATTATATATATCCAATCTTGATATATTTAATAAAAATTGATGTTAAAATACCAAGTAATGGTAGTTTTGAAATACCTAAAGGTAATTATTCCATTTATAGAAATCTTACCATTTTGATGGATTGTTTTAAAATATTAAAATTTATCAAAAAAGAAAAAAAGTTATTGGGGAGTGATTATCTAGCTAATTAATTTGTAAAAAACACAATATTGTATCATTTGAAGGAAATACAATAAATAATAATAAGAGTTCGATTTTGTATGCTTTAATAATTGTTTTAAAATTTTTTTTTTTTTTTTTATTTTAAATTTTTTTTTTAATTTTTTTAATTTTTTTTTTTTTTCATTTTCAATATTTTTTTATTTTCAATAATTAATTATATAATTTATTTTAAATAAACTATACATATATACATAATAAAATGTTACACCCACAGCAAATGCAGGAGCAACAACAACAGCAACAGAATGCACAAAATGCAGCTACAATACCTGAACATTATGAAATGGAATATATTCAAAGAAATAATAAAACTATACAACTTTGGTAGATTTCATAATAGTTTTTAATTTTAAAGATTTTGGTATAAACTTACTAACTATCCTTTTTTCAATAACAAAAATAAACAAAAAATATTATAGTCAAATACCAATATCAATTTTAGGAGGAGGTATAGCAGGTGTTATAGGATTTTCAGGTTTATCAGGATTTTTATTTTATTTCTTTGTATATATAATATTTTGCTCATTATTTGCATTAAAAGAGAAAAAGAACCTTCATCTTTATTTCCCAAATCCAAGATCAATTTGGTTCGATAGTGTTGGAGGTGGTTTAATGGTATGGATTTCACATAATAGTTTTTTACTTTTAAAAAAATATTAGTAAAACTATTATTTATATAATATATATCATAATCAAATAAAAAATTGTATATACTAAATAATTCTTTTCTCTTTTTCTTTTATTTTTTTTTATTATAAAATAATTCATTACTGCCAATCTTAAAAATAAATGTCGTAAATAAATAATATTAATAATAATAAAAATAATAATGATGTCAATAAAAATATTGCTATTTTACTATCAATGTTGTATCAATAAAATCCTCCCTTTTGTTTCAAATATAAATAAAACAAAAATATATAATATTCAAACAACACACACACACACACAAATTCAAACACTACATATAAAAATTATATCTATTTAACCCACACCTTAAATAAAAATAACCCCCAATACACACAAACAAATAAAAATAATTATTTAATAAATAAATTTAAATAAACTACGATAACATCATCAATTCCTTTTAATTAAAAATAGTCATATATTTTATTTTGGACGTAAGTGTGATTAAACTATATACTTAAAATCAGTATATAATAAAAAATAACCCACCATCAATGATAACATCATCAATATTTAATTACTTTGTATTAAATTTATTATTTTTTTTTTTTTTCTTCTCCTTTTTTTTCTATATAGATTTTTATATAATATAATTCATATATATTAAACAAACAACAACAATAAACTAAATAAATACAACAACAACTAAAGAGAAAATCAACATACACAGATCCAAATTGTTATTTTATAAATCTAAATAAAACGTTTCTTAATGTTATAATAATGATATCAATACAAATAATTATATAAAGATATAATATAGCAAAAAGATTAAATTCATTTTTTTTTATTTATTATTTTATTTTTCAATTTTCTTTTTTTTCTTACTTTTTTTTTTTTGTGCATAAAATAAACGAAATGAAATTTAAATTTGTGGGGAAATCAATTTTGGGTTATAGTTATAATGTAAATAATAATCGTATTATAGTAATAGGTAATAATAATCATATTTATATTTTTTTTAAATAATGGGAAAGAGATAAATTTTTTTTCCTTTTTTTTTTTTTTT